ATAAATAATTCACATTTCTGCTGGGCTGCTCTCTGTGCCTTCCCTACAGGCAGACTGGCGGCTCAAAGGAAAACAGCTGTGATTAGCTGGAACTCATACCTAGAGAGTTAAAGGTATGTTTACTAAAGTATATTATATTTTCAAAACATTTCACTTCAGAGACTGATTTTTTTTTGGAGAGGGGCAACACCAGCAAGCCTCTCTGTCAACCGTTTTTCAGAAAGATAACGGGAGAGACTCTTCATTTAACTAAACCCGCTCCTATCACATCGCATCACGCTCCACCAGATGTCCCTTGCTGCAGTACCGCCGCCAAGGAGGCAGCTGGTTTTCTGACTGATAAAGCACGCAGTCACGTAACACCGTGGAATTAACCTGGAAGAGATCCCCCGGTGTTTCAGATTTGCCTGGCTGTCCCTACCGGTGGGTAACAGTGGCCGTTGGCACAGATATCACTGCATAACTACAGCGGTGAAGGACTCACATTTAGGCTCTGTTCATGCATGGTGCTGGAACTGCTCGTTAAAACCTGACGTTAAGCTGTGTAACTACTGAAATACCTCTTCTATAGACAAATTCAAGAGGATTCCCTCTGTAGGAGTTGTAAACCCTTCACACTCTGACTTTTCCCATCTATGCAAACTATCAGTCCAGTATTTAATCCATCCCCCTCTCAACCACACTTCTGCTGTTCAGATCTGGGAGTTCAACTTTTCCTTCTGCAACACCACTGCCCACTTTTACAACTGCTTTCAATGAACATGGGGTGGATGTCAGTGAGTGTGGGATAAGTGTCAATGAATACAGGATAGATGGGATAGTCCGCAGCAGTGTTTGGGCGAGCCAAGTTCACGTCCACCTTTAGCAAGTCGATCACCCAAGAACCTTGTGAGTAAATTCCATGTAATGAGATAGTATTTAGGTTGTATTTGTGTTTAACGTGACTGCAGCTAGCCTGGCCTCCGCTCAAGTCATGGACTGACCTTTTTGTTATGTTACAGTGTGGTCTGATAAGAAGCACACTGTATGGTATGTAATCCATGTAAAAATTAAAAAGTCCTTTAGCACTTATACGTCATTTGTCTTCTTTAGTGGTCGGCTGCATCTGCTGGAGGTTGTGGGTGCCAGATCATTGTGCTGGGAGCTGCCACCCAAATTGCAGCCCTTCCAGCCTCCCCTGTCCCCGTCACAGCTGTGTCTGGCTGCAGGATATTCTGTATTTTTGTGCTTCTGCACGTTGCACCGGCTTACTAAATGTTTTGAAGTTGGTGTGGGAGAATGTATCTGCTTTCCCTAGATCCCTTTTTAGGAATGTTTCTAGCCTGCCAACTCTGTGGAGTAAACCATAAAGAGACTGAAAAGCTCTGGACTTCTGGTTGTGGTCTCCAAACAGCGACGGCACATGGATCCACATCAGGGTAAAGATGTATTCCAGCCATATCCATGCAGCTGCCACTTCTGCCACAGAAAGCAGTGGCAGGGCATGACGGGTGATGGAAGGCGTGTTGTGATCCATTTTACTTCCCAGATCCTTTTGGGAAAACCACCTGCTCACTGGTGCCTCCTCATCCTGTGTCTGTGTGCCTGATCGTTCATGCCTAAGTGTACAACTTTGTGCTGGTCCCCGTTGAGTTTCAGTCTTCAAAACATCGCTCCGGTTGTCAAGTTTGTTTTGAATTTGAATCCCATCCTCTATTATATTGCAGCCTTTACAGTTTTGCACTATCAGCAAATTTCATACATGTATTTTCTATTCCATTGTTCGTATTGTTAGTGAAAACATTGAACAAACTAGGATAGACCCCAGTAGCCACCTTTCTGCGCTGACAATGTATGAAACCGGATTTCTACTGACCCTGTAGGAGTTTCAGCTAGTTTATGAGGATGCACTGCAAGACAGAAGTTTCTCTGAAGTCCAGATATCTGATATCTACCGCTTTTTGCTTATTTATGAGTATTGTTAGCTTATCATAGAAATAAATTTTATTGCAATTTCTACCTGATATAATTTCTACCGGATGAATTCATGGTAGCTGCTGCTCCTCTCCTTGTTATTTTCCAAATGCTTACAAATAACTTTTTATCCGCTCCAAATTGAAGGAACTGAAGACAGCTGGTCTTTAATTCGTTAGTTCCAAAGACCAAACCCATCAGATCCTGCTTCTTATTGATGCTATTGAAGTCACACGCCTTACCTTAACCAGCTAGAAATGCTGGAAGTGATTTACATAATGAATTTACAGCCCGCACAACTGCATGCTTACAGTGAGTGAGGATCTGACTAGCAGAGAAGCATCTGATCTTTGCACTAACACTGTAAAAATCAATTGAAAAAAAAGGCAGTGTGGACACCAAGCTCTGAAAAGGAAGAGCTGTTCCTTAACGTGTTTGTGGAAGCAGACCTGAGACAGACCCCTGCGGGGACATCGCTCTGTTCTGCCTGTGAATCACTGATAAATATTTTCGGAGTACAGTTACACAACCGGTTTTGCACTAGCCCTGTGGAAGTTTCAGCTGCTTTGCCTATGGGACTGTTTTGTGAGACAAAAGCCCTACTGCAGTGGACATTTTTAGAGCTTTTTTTCCTTCTCCAAGTGGCCTCTTATCCATACAACGATTTCTATTGGTTTGATAAGATTTTTTTCAGATAAATTTATGTTGCCAATTGCTAACATCTTTGTTATCTACTGTGGAAAAAAAAAAATGAAATGTTGGCAAGATTTGCAAGGGATTTTTAAAAAATATATATATTTGTGTTGGTTTTTTTTAATTAAAAGCAAAGCTTCCAATTTTCTTTAACAAAAGCACACTGTCCACCAGAAAATGCAGGGTTTGGCTGTGAGATGCAAAGCAGTTTTCCCTGAAGTCAGTAGATAAGATGGGTGGTGGTCTTTCTTTCTGGCTTTTCGGTTAGATTAGAAGGAAGCTCCATGAATTGAATTTGATACTGCTTCTCCGGGCATGTTTGGGGGAAGAAATGTTGTGATTCTTGGCTAAAAATCTCTTCTCACTTGCCTGAAAGCGTCAATTTTGGGGGTTCGGCTTACACTACTAGATCAATTATAGCTTCTGATTGTGGTGAAAAATCTTTTTGTGTGTACTGTATCACAAAAAGTTTCCAGCATTTCTCTTGAGAAGAGCAAATCTTGGCTCAGGATGGCATTTTAACTCTTACTTACTTAACACAGCTGTGTGCCAGCAATGTTAACACTCACGGAGCCTTGGGTAGGGGCCAAAAAAGGCACCTGCTCTGTTCCCACTCCCATGCTGGATGGCTTGCACTGCTATGCATCTCCCTACCAACACATCTCTTCCCTCTCTAATTTTCAGTCTGGACAAGAAAACCCATGCACGGGTCAGCAAACAATTATTTTTGCAGTGACCCAAGCTTTTGTGGTCATTAAATAAAATTGTTGCTAGCTCAACTGCAGAAACGCTTCCAAGAAACCCATCTCTCCTTATCCCACCCTGGACAGCCCTCCAGTATAAAATAATGTAAAAGAATATTAAACCACAGTGGGCAGGACTCTGTGGCCACTTACACGGAGTAACCATATAGAGGGTAGGGGGACTGCAGCATTATCAGGACGTTATCTCTTGTTACCTGGAATCTTCCCTCATTCTTCAAACAGGATTTTCCTGTTACTGTGTGTGGGCTGGAGGGTTTAACTGCAGTCTGACTCTTCCTACTGCTATGATTGTAATTGTCTCCTGGGAATCTTTATGGGTATTGAGTAAGGAAGCATAAACCTGCTCGGCAGAGTAGCACCAGCGCTCTGCAAACCCAATCTTTCTAGGGGACAGCTGTCATCATCACTAAACAGCCAAGTGAGCAACTGCCCCCCTCAACCCGTTACATTAGGGAAGAGTTTTTGACTTAAGCCTATTTTGTGTCTTGTAACAAGATTAAAAGAATTAAAGAGAAACCAAGTGACCTGTTTAGTCCATTTAATATTAAGCATATGACACACAGCTTCATCTTATACAGGGACAGAATAAGCAGGAGGACATGATTATACACCTTTTATGCTGCTCTTGAGGACTTCCAAGCTGGAATGCCCTGCCTGCATCCATCTCCAGAGGATCCCCAAAGCTATGTGGTTGCATACACATGCCACCGCCCACAGTTCTTGGAAAAAACATCTTACTTTGGTTGTAGCAGAGTAATTATTTCAATATATGAAGAGGAGAGCTACCCTGGCTGTGCTGCAAAGGTTTTGAGGAGGTGGAAAGTGCCTGGGGAGAGGGTGGGATGGGCCATGTGAAGCCATGGCCCCCTGCAGACCCTGCCTCAGACCTTTTGCACAAGGGCCAGGTGAACCAGCACTCCATTCATCAGTGGTCTGAGTAGATCCAGCTCATCATGTCAGTGCAACAGTGGCACGTTGGTGTAGGGGACATGGAGGGGACAGGGAGTATGGCCTTGAAAGAGGGGCCCTGCAGTGGAGCTGTGCCTGACAGCCTGCTCTCCAAGGCTGCAAGACAAAATGATAAAAGCACGACGACACTCCTTCACATACTGGTGGTGCCTAAAGCTCTCGCCTTTCCAGCTGAGCCCCAGTAATGCCGAACTGAAGCGTTATCTTTTCAAGGACTCCATAGACACTACAGTAAAACAATTCACTGGCTGACCTAAGCGGGGATGTTTAAAGTACTCACAACGTTCTTCTTCAAGACCATCATAGAAGTCCTGGGCTAATTCCCAAGTGCTTTGACAATCCATTTGCCTGAGTTGCTAGCAGGGAAAAAACTCCAACTACAGTTTATCTGCACGCTGTAGGAACATACAGCTGCCCAATATCCCTGTTTGTCTGCAGCGCTGTGTTTGTCCAAAAAGTACTTCTAGTAAATATTGTCAATCATAAACAGTCCGCAATGAATTACCAAGCTGTTCCCTTTACATTGGGAGCAGCTGGTATATTGGGATATACTGTGAGAATCACCGCTTG